ATTAACAAAGAAAATTTTCTTCACTGAATTCTCTTTTACTTATTCAATCACATTATGGGTTATTATTTAATAACAGTTTATATTTTTTTCCCTAAATTATTTTCTTTGTCCAGCTGATTGTTTCAATAAAATATCACTTATTTTCTTTTTCTTTCTTTTTTTTCATTTGACAGATGGATTTCACTTCAAAAAGAACTTTCAGATTTAAAATTAAATATTCAAGTAACAGTCAATAAGGATACATAGCAAAATTATATTAGTTTTATATATCTAGATTGTTTGAGCAAGTTATACAGTTCTCTTATTATTGAGTAGTAGTTCAGTTTAGTCTTTCAGTTGAATTGTCTTTTTTGATGAATTATTAATATTTGACAATTTATATTACTATCATTAATAATATTAACTTTGTTTGAAGTTTCAAGAAGAAGAAAAAAAAACAAAAAGCTTATCATGTTTCTTTACAGATTGGATGTATTAACCGTTTTCTTTAGTTGAATTTAACTTTTGAATTAATATTTAATGTTTATTTATTATTTTTTTGAAATAACAAATGGTTGAAACTTAGATTGAATTGATTCTTCTGTCTAATAGTTATGTGATTATTTTGGTTTTGACTGAATAAATTGTTAGAGAGGTTTGTTTAATTGAAAGCTGACTCGTTACACTACAATAACTGCCTGTAATGGAAAGTTGACCAAAGTAATAAGTTGCTAATAGCAAATAATTAGGATTGCCTATTAATAAAAAATGTCAAGATTTCTCTGAAGAGTTGTAAATATGTTTCTATCAGCACTAGTTCTGTTTGACATTTTCATTCGATCATTAGCATTCAAGCTGGGAGACACACCCACCTTCCAAAGGATAATTGGACTTTGATTTCATAAACCCATTCCATTAATTCTTTCTGATATATCGCTAGTAGGTTAAATCAATGGTTTTTGAAACACTGAGTTACTGGTCCAAACGTAAATTTTTCTACTATGGTTCGGATAGCCAGGTACTATCACTAATCCTCACACAAATTTTTGACTTGATACATGGAACTATACTTGACACGTATGTTACACTTAATTTAAAACTCTTTTCGTTGGTTTAGTTTATGTACTTATCCTCACAAGAATGCCCAATAACGAGAGCTACTTCAAGTGGTATTAAAGAAATTTATTGACATATTCAGAGATACTGAAACAGAAATAGGTTATTACCTTGAAGGACTCAGTGGTCTGAGATCTCCTTGTTTGTGATGTTTCAGTGAATTTTATGTTTTCGATATTCAGACAAATTACAAAAAGTGGTTGGTTTTTGAGAGTGTCATAAATTTAAATATATTTTGCCACGGTAACATAAATTAGTGAATCAAGACCTCTGTAGAGACTCACTAATTTATGCTAACTAGCATTTTACATACTTCCGTTCATAATCACTCCACATTTTTTATTCAAGATTAGTTTGGAAGCAGTAAAATTTACTGCCTCTTGCCCCTCATGGTAGCACAAACCACCCATAACGACTCTACAATCTACTCTGTCCTGAGTTCTCCTTTCGAGTTATTTCCAACTACTTTTCATTCCTTTGATGCCTGCTGCCGATTTCCAACACACTATCTTCTTTGGTCTTCCACTCTTCGTTTCCACATTCCAAGTTGGCACTTGTGTGGTGGTCGGTATCCGATATAACCCTTAACTTCGTACACTGTTCGTCTTGATAACCGTTCTATATAACGCCCCAACGGTATATTGATCAGAAGGCAAATACGAAGTGTTGATTATGTTTATTGCGAGACCACACACATATATCCAAATGTACAGATGCGTTAAACAAGCATAGAAGAGTTGTGCCGAAAGGCAAGCAAGCGAGCGAGAGGAAGAGCGAGACGACAGTGTGTGAGTGAGTGTTGAATATGAATAACATGGACATATATATACCATGTGAAATGAATGAGTAATCGAATCAAATAAGCAGTTAGTAGTAAGACTAGCAGAGTGAATAAATGCATAGGCCGTAAGCAATATTCAAGCATACGTATTTCATACAAGCACAAAATAATAAGGGTACAATAAATTGTTATAGTGCGGATGACTTTGTCCGCTAAATGAGTTAGCAAAAGGGCTTAACTGAGTTAAATGAGAATAAACTCAATTGCACGTGAGTCACTATACTTGTCTCGTGATGCGATTTGATGATTTCCACTTCAGCTGAAAGCTCTTTGGTATTGTTGCTGATCATATCCTTCGAACAGATCTGGAGTATCTTGAGAAACCAACTGTTTATAAATACCTGTATCATTTTCCTGATGGTTGTATCAGTTCTCTGAGTTTGAGCTAACTACAATAGAACTGTCTTGACGTTTCTATTGAAAACTGTGACTTCGGTGTTGACTGATGGTTGTGTTGAGTTTCAGGTGTTCTTCAATTGTGGGAATGAGGTGTTCGCTTTATCAAACCGTCCCTTCACAATTGGGCTTTACCGAATCTAACATCCGGTTCAACAACACTGTTGAAAATTTGCTGGTACTGACAGAGTGGTGAACGACAGCATGGATGTTTAGAACTAATTTATTGTTTAATGCACAATTACGGAATGTCTTCGTAAAATGTGAAAACCATAGAATAGATAGATCATTTGAACATCTCTTATCAGTTATTCTCTACAAACTTCATGATTCTCCCAATACTGTTGATACTCCAATAGCTCTCTGTTCGCTTCAACTCAATCTTCTACTGGAGGGAATTCATTATTTCATTACTAATAATATCTGCCAACATAAACCACGATTGTAATGTGATGCCCCTGTAGTTCTTACATTTGCTAAGGTCTCCTTTCTTTGGTTTCTTGATTAAATATCCTCCCTTCCAGTCTATTGGAACTTGTCCTTCTTCCCAAATCTTTTTGATGAGAGTGTGAAACATCTCTGCTATTAATTCTATGTATAGCTTTAGTGCATTAGTTCGCATAGTATATTGTGTTGCCGCTTCCCACTTGATTTATCTGATGGTGTTAAGTTTGTTTTACATTATTCCTGCTCATTCCTTTCCTACTCTTTTGTATGTTGGTTTATACTACTTATTTATATTCAGTAAGCAGTTGTATGCCCAACAATTTTCACACTTATGTTGTAACTCAGGTTGTACTGTAACATTCTGAAATGTTCACATATATCTTAACGTTTATTTTACTTATCATTGTATTTATCATTATAATCACCATAATTTAATTACTGTAACGGTTATCCACAGTTTTATGCATTTGTTTAAACGCAACAGTTTCCATAGTGTTTGCTCTTGATTCGAGTTTCGGTTGTTCATACACTGTTATCAAATTTAGACACAGCTATCGGCTGTCTTTCTACTATCGTATGTTATAACCATTCTTTATGTTACTCTTACAGGAAGCCTTTGCTATTTTCATTCTTGAACGACGCGTTTAAACGCCTAGACACCTCACAAGTTAAGGCTTGTAACTGAATTTTGTGTATTATTTAATGAAGATCCGCTTTTGTAGACAAATAGTTGTTTTGGAACTTCGATTTTGCGCGTATCTCAATCGGGGTTACTTGGACGCTTCGATAGAATTAACAGATATTCATACTAATTTTTCCGATTGTTGGTGTGGTGAAGATCTGTGTGCGCTGCTTCTATGTCAGTCGAGTTCATTGTGGCTTGTCTATTCCACAGCTGTGAATATTATCAAATAAATGTAACCAGTAAATTTGAATTTGAATTTCCTTATATCAACCCAATGAAAAGTTAGTGCACCAAACACTTTTGGGTGCTTTTATTTTCTCAACGATCAAAGTACGCTTTCCAGAATGTTTGATCACATTCTCAATCGGATTGTTTGCTGTTGAAAAATTCAAGGAATAATTTATTCGATCCTATCTTAATCATTATACATGTATACCTTCGACTGCTCTACTTTCAGCACGTGCATGTATTACACCTGAATGGTCTTTACAAATGAATAGTCATATTGTACATGTATAAACACAGTTTTTTAGTGGTGAGGAATTAGATCCACATGTAAGTAAACATTGAAGTCTACACCATCTTTTACATTATCTATTAAATACGTTAGCAAGTTTTTTTATTTGGTTAGACGATCGAAGCAATATGGTGTTTAGTCGTGATAGAGTATTGATTCAGAACAATGCATTTTGGCCATTTGTTTCAGATCACAGTAATTTAGTTTCTCATAAATCATTAGTTGATATTCTTGTTGAAGACGTAGATTTTTATTGCAAAGACTAAATTAGTACGATATACGCAATTTATGAATGAAAGATGGCAACTATATTGAATATGAAATAATGCTCATTTATTATGTTTAGAATGGAAGTTAAAATTATTCCAGCTACAATGTGGGATTTTCAGCGACATCAACTCCCATCTGAGCGTACTCATCGGTTATACAATACTAAAGCTTGTATATCAACATAAGCTGAATGAACTCGACCGACTAATTAGTCCAACTGTTCCAGAAACTCAGCCAACACGTTATTTAGCAGTGATGCGTCATGTTTCTTGTTTTTTTCCATTTACTCACTATACAAAATGGCATCAGTGTAAGACCAAAAGTAGTTTATAATCTTTTACCGAAACTACGTTTATTAAAACGTCTTCAATATAGCATTTAGCTAATTTTTTTCAAGTTGTCATGACGTGATTAATAGTTTCTGGATACACAATGGTCGGTAGTAGACAATCAGTTTTAAATAATACTCAAAGTCGATTTTGTTATTCATTTATTGATTTGTGTTTATCCACACTACAACTATATACCACTCTGTCATCAGCTGCATATTTTTTTGGATGTTTCAGTTGGTCAAACAAGACTGTCAAGAGAGACTTGTTTCCATAATAAATTATTAAGTTTGATTTCAGAACAGGAAGTGAAAAATCTTGACTATAAACCCATGGCTTCAGAAACTTAGCTAATCGACTTGTGTTTGATATTGGATATGCATAATGATCTAGGACTTATTACTGAAAGAGCTTGTTTCTATGTATTCTTCAGAGGCTAGAAAACGTGGCGGTTTATCTATTTCGATTCCTGAACTCTGTGGTATAATTAATTCATTGAATAATTTGGTGACAGTATTGAAGATCATGGCTGCATATTCTACTCTACCATACGATGAATCTCTCGGTAGTCTTGTCAGTGATTATTGTTATCTTCTTCCTAGTTTACGGCATAGTGATCGTGATGCAGTTCTTTACCTAATTCGTGTAACTAGTTGAAGAGAATGGAGTCCGGCCGTGGAATAATGTCGTGAACGTTGTCGCCAACATCATGGTGTCACAAATGTGTGACCACCCTTTTGTAAACCGAAACAACTGCCACTAGAATTTTGTGGTCAACATCATGTACTACGTAGTCGTCATTTACATAATATTTTTAAACAACTCAGTTTATCTATCTTGATCAACTATTAACAGATGGATAGCTTAGCTATGATTATTTATTTGACCAATCGAATTATATGATCGATGTTGTTTACCGGGGAATAATAGAAAAACTTGTATTAAGATGTGAAAAATCAACGATCCAAGAGTAGCAAGTCAAATTTACCTACATTGTCATCGAATAATTTTAATAGTCGTAAGACTTGTACTATGCTTTTAATTGAACAAGAACAAACAGAAGAAATAAAGAAAATACAACAACCATTACATCCAAAAGATGATTCAGTCACAGAAAAATCTCAAAATGCTTTCACGTATGAAATATACGTATTCAAACTCCATTCTCGTATTTGACTTATTTATTTCCGTTACTCACTAATGCGATCCAAGTCAGTGAAATAAACGAAGATAGCCGACCTGTGTATTTCGATGACAATCAGCTTACAATGCAGCTGCAGTCAAACACTAGGCCACTAAAAGTGATGAGCTCTACCACGAATTTAACTCAGTAAACTAGGACTATGAAGGACCTTCTGAACTCCATACTCTTGACAAACAAACTCAACGGAAGTTACTTTGTCAATAACCTCATCGATGATAGCATTATACCTCTCAAAAAATCTCAGTGATTTGTTTGTCCTTTTCGTTTGTGACTGGGCGGTCCTATTTAACCAATTTTCCAGCTAGGTTCTTCCCTGAATCATATGGTTGTCACATGTCTCATGTATTGAGTTTCATAATGTTTTCCCTCAAGTTTCCAATGCTTTCTTAGATTTAGTTTGATTTCGGTCATCACTAGGTATGTTCTTAAGCTTTACCAGCTCCTTATTCTGTTATCACATCTTTGATGGACCTTTTGAGCGCTTTTCACCTATAACCATTTTATAATATTTGAATTATTTGAATTGTAATATGAACTAGGAATCCCAGAATTAACGCAATTGAATCAAGAACTACGACACAAGCACGAACGAATGTATTGTATTTGGGATTCGAAATCGAGCATTACACAAGTACAGTAGAATCATTAGTTAATTCAAACAACACACCCGCCACAACTTAAATAAGAGTATAAGTGTTTGTAATCGGTTGTACGTCTTCTTGTTGTGTTCATCCTGGGTCTGTCCGGGATTGTATGGATAAAAACTTTGTAGTATCTAGAATGTGCTCATTAGTATTGGAATTAACAAACGAAATTGGAACAGACTCACCTGGAATTGTATGCAATCAGCATGTCGATTTTGTAATGAAATCATTAATATCTAGAATTCGAATCATAGATTTTTCAATACTATCCATTCCCCACGAAATAAATGTTGGGTCTTTATATCCCCAAGTTATGAATAATGTGGCTTCATTTAAAACATATTTCTCACATTATTTAGAGTAAACGTTTAAAGTGTTTTTGTGATAAGGGTAAACAGCAGTTGATATGAAATCATCAAGATCGAACTCCTTTAGTACTCGTGCACCGCAATGAACAAGTTTCCTACCAGAAACAAACGCAATATGAGGATAGGTAATATATGACATGACATCAGGGTTTAATTCTTCTGAAATATTTTCATGAAATTTATTAATAATTTCATTGCAGAGTAATGGATCATTAGAAAAATCTGCATCCATCAAAACTACATCAGGTTTTGGATCACAATTATGTTCACTCAACATATTTTCTTCAGATTTGTAAGAAATGTCATCAGAAATATGTGAATCATTAGGAAAAGTCATATTTGGTACAATAACATGAGAAATCTGATAAATCGATTGGTTAGAAACTGTTGTCTCGCAAGAATTCTGAGGTTCATTTAACTCGGAATTGCTATGTGACTCCACACTGTCTATTGCAATCGTTGATAAAAGTAAATCATCATTATAAATACCCAAATGCCCATGTACGACCGAGAGTGGGGAGAGTCAGCTCTCCCCCTCGAAATGCTCTGACATGGCCATGTGCATACAACCACTGCCAGGGAAGTCCTACTCACTGTCTTCTCGTGGCGGGGGTGTTGTTTACGAAAATGAGAGGACGAAAAGCGAACGTCCGGCGCTTTAACTGGATTCTAAATGAATGGTGCACATGGGCTCCAGTATCCTGCGGGAACAAATGGCGTATGAACCAATCTTCGGTCACCGGCTACCACGGAACTGCATCTCCTCACGATGCTCTACTGCCTTGTGGGTTAGACCATTAAGTCGAAGGCTCAGGGTGTGGCCCCCTAAGAAAACCACCTGCTTCGGTTTGAGCACCCGGGCAGTATCGCAGCCCTCACACAATTAATGAACTGAACTGTCTGTGATCATGGAAACTAATTCTCTTGCTTCGACGAACATTCAAATCATTCGATTAATATTATTGCTATTATTATTATTTACTACGTCATTATTCACCCTCTTTTATTCCTGCTCTGTCTACACTTATTTTTCGACTTATACAGCATCTCGTCTTTGGTGGAAACTCGGTTCTATCTAAATGTTCTCGAGTCACTGCCTGGTTGAAAATTGTATGCTACCACCAAATACGAATACTGAAGCAGTGTTTCCGAAACCATGTGCACCATTCAAACTGGCTGCCTTCAACGTTCTCACACTTATGCAGGTTGGACAACAGATAGGGCTGGCTGTGTCTTTAGAAGGTCTTAATATCGATGTCTGCTGTCTATCCGAGACCCGTATTCAAGACTCCGGTGAAGTACTACAAATTCGCTCTCCATCTGTCGCTTCAAAAAGCTTGTTTTACGTGCGCTTATCCAGGGACCCTGTGACATCTTCGTCTGGTCTTGCTGGCGTTGGTGTCGCACCAAGAGCTAGAGCTGAGGCAGCACCAATTGATTAGATCCCCATTAACAGTCGGTTATGTGCTGTGAGAATAGAGAGTTGCATCAAAGTGAGAAGAAATCAGCGTCAGAGACGATGTCTTTTCGTCATCTCCACATATGCCCCGACAGATTGCAGCCCGGATGCAATCGAGGATGAGTTTTACCACCAGTTAACCGTTGTTCTCCAAAAAGTGTGTTCGACAGATATTGCAGTACTAGCCGGAGACTTGAACGCTCAGGTCGGGCGTCTAGGCACAGAAGAGAATCGTTTGGGTGCCCGATGAGGACTTGTTGGTCGCGGGACAGATAACGGGGACCGTCTACTGCAACTGTGTACAGACCACAACCTGTTTCTGGCTACCACTAACCTTCGGCACAGTTTAGTGGCCCGTGAATCTGACTCCAAGATCGTACGAATGATTGTTATCGCCTATTCTCGTATAAAGTCGACGACCTAAATATCGTTAGACAATAACGGAATTAAATAAGACGAATAACGAGAATTGACTTGAGAATACATATATTTTGTATATGAAGCGAATGAAACAGAGCAGAGCAAAATGACACTCACGGAAGATGGCTGGGAAGCCAACTCCATTTTAGTCAAGAATTACTCAATATTTATAGTTAGACAAAATAAAGTTACAGACATGTAATTAATGGGATAAGAAGGGCACACACATATACGGTCATACAAAAACAGTCTAGATTGATAAGCGAATAAATAACAAGGTCAAAGTATGGCTCAAATAGAATGAATCGAATGGGATGTCCGAAAGCTAGAATAAGGTATATGGGCTTAATATAATAACTGACACTGCAACAGTCATCGCCGATGTGCCACTTGGCGTCCACTCTCTGCATCTCAGGCATGAACTCAGATTGATCACATCGCGATCAGCTGCCGCTGGCGTGGTTGTGTACAAGACTGCCGCTCCTTTTGGAGTACCTATCTGGACTCTGACCATGCCTTGGTCTGCGCCAATCTTACCTTACTTTTCAGTGGACAACAAAGTGACCGCCACCAACGGATTGATGTTAGCAGGCCGGTTGCAACTTCTGTTGCTAGTAAGTATCGAACCGAGCTAGTTTCTAGGCTAGCTACCATTCCACCGAAAAGTATAGACGAGCATTGGTTGCAAATGCATGACGCCATGAAAATGGCGAGTAAAGCCGCTTGCGGCTTCGCGAAAGGACCCGCTTATATGCACCGGGTTACTTCTGGTTCCTTCAAACTCATTGAAGCCCGTCGATCTACTCCGGTTGACCATGAGTTTGACCACGAACGACGACTGGTACCTAATGAAATTGGGCAAAGCTTGCGTAAGGACCGAGAAGCCTGGTGGTAGGAGACGTCTTGGACGATGGGCAGAATTTTAGGGCAATTCCACTGGCCTGCTGCTCCGGCAACATCGGTCAGACTGTCATGCCCTCCATGGCCGGTGACGACTGATCCACCAAATGAGGCGGAAAGTCTACAAAGAACTCCAACTCTTGAAGCGCTACAAATCACCTGGCCCAGATGACTTACCTCAGGCTCTTTTTAAAGATAGTGGTGATGTTCTGGCTAAGGAACTGACAGCGTTGTTTACAAAGGTCTAGGAGTTAGAGAGTGTACTGATGTCATGGAATGAGTCGATAGTTCTCCCTATCTTTATAAAGGGTTCACGTCGTTCCTGTAACAACTATCGGGGGATAAGTCTACTTCCGATTGCGTCCAAGCTATTGGCTTCCTTCATACTTCATAGGTTGTTCAAAACCCGAGAAAGATTGACTCGCGAGGAGCAGGCTGGATTTCGTTCTGCTCGAGGATGTATTGATCATATCTTCACCCTCCGCCAAATGTTGGAACACCGCCTTACTTATCAAAGGCCAACAATCGTAGTGTTTCTTGGCATCAGGGCTGCTTTCGATTCGTTGGATAGGACAGTTCTCTGAGATTGTCTATTGAAGAAGAGCGTGCCTGAGAAGTTTATTAACATCCTAAAAGCCCTATATACAAATACCTAGGGTAGA